CTCCCACAACTCATCTGGTCTTCGCTTATTAGTGTTCAAGGCCTCAAACCTGTTCCTGAGCCTCAAATCTGTTCCTGAGATGATTCTGAAATTTGGGTGGGATGAAATCAAAGTCATATTTTCGCTCCTGTGGATTTGGGTTAATTTTCCTCAGGTTCATTTTGAACTTGAGAAGCATAGTAATTCCAAAATCATGTTCTGTTCTACTGGTCTTTGTCAAAGATCAGAGTATGCTTTGGGAAAATGTATCAGAGGGTCATTCAGAAAAAGATTTCCAGTTATGACAAAAACAAGGAGAGTCTGCTGTTAATGCCAGCATTCCTCCACATCCTTGTAAACATCTGAGTGTTGCTTAGGATCTCTGGTGACTTAGCAGTAAGGTTCTGCATTGCCAACTCAAAGGCACATCTTTCAAATCTACTAGCTACTCCACAAGAAAAAGATGGGCTATCACCTTCTGCACAATTATACTGCCTTTGAAAACCTACTGGAAGATGACCTATGGGTCAGTTCCTACTTGATAGTGCATCATAACTTCCTGACAGTCTGGGGAATAAATGTAACAATTCACAGAATCATTCTATTGAGTTATGAATCAAATTGTATTATTTCCCTTAATATAAGTACAAAAAGAAGAGAGAAACCTTGAGCCACCATATAATGGAACTGGATTTCTACAAACTCAAGTGATTGGAAGGAAGGAGAAGAAAACTTCCACCTAGATAGCTGTGTAACAGTATCTTGGGCAATGAATGCGATACTTTTTCCCAGTTTCCTTATATTAATGCTGAAAACACTGCTTTTTCCTGTTGCCCAGGAAAGATAGCAATGACCTTCTGTCTAGATTTGCTTCTATGACATATTATTTCTCACTTTCTTATTTGCTTCTCTTTTCTTTTTCTTGCTTATCAATGAAATTTCAAGTCCTTCATATGATGCAACCTTGAGGGATAATGATGATCACATCCAGAAAAACATGTAATTTCTGTTGTCTTTGGTTTTGTGCCAAACTAACCCTTTTACATCTCTAAAATTTGATATTCGATAGTAAGTCATATTCTTGCTACACCTAGATATATTAAAAAGAATTTGTAATGGAAATAATTTTTAAATTAAGAGTAAATTAAAAGCTAGATTAGGGTTAGTTTCTACATTTGAACGGAGGAGTTAATTTTGAGGAGAGGAAATGTAATAAGAAATTGTCTGGCTATCCAAGAAAGAGGAAAATGAATTTGTTAGCAAAGAAAAAATAATTTTGATATGTGCATAGTGCTTAAAATATATGTTCATTGAAATGAAAAATAAACAACCTAAATTTAAAAAAATTTAAAAAAAAAGAAGTATGGAAAAAAAATATGGCTTCATCACAGTAAATTTTTCCTCTAAATGTTATCCAATTTTCTTATTTATAGTTCGTTCTTTTAGTCCACAATATAGAATACCAGGTGGCTGTCATATCTCAATAATTGTTCTAGAACAATGAAATCAGATAAACAAAGGAGACTGGGTTTTTATCATAAAGAACTTATTTCTCAAATTTATTTATTGGCTAGCCAATAAGTAAATAAGTGGATATGTGATTTCACCCTTGTTTATAGAATATCTGGAATGATGATTGAAAAATATTAAGATAAAGAAAAGCTCAAGAGGTGAATGCTAGTCCAAATATATTTGTTAGTCTGGCTAAATGACTAATAATGAAATAATAATGCCCCTATAGGACAAAGTAGAACTCGCTCATACAATTCCTGGGGAGATATATTTCCTGTTTCTCCTATACATTCTTTATAGAATTCAACTTCCCCATTCATCTTTTAGTGCAAAATCTGAGGAGTTTGCACCACTAATGTTTTGATTAACGAATAATTTCTTAGCTACTGCACCTCCAGGGCCTCCAAATGATCAATATTCAACTTCACTCAACTCATTGTTATCCATTCAGAACCTCTTCAATGGTCTTCTGGTGGATTTTCTGGAGGCTGTAAGTTACACAGGAAGTTGTGTTGTTGTTGTTGTTATGTGCCGTCGAGTCGCTTGCAACTCATAGCGACCCTATGTACAACAGCCCTAAACTCTGCTCTGTCCTGTGCCAATCGCACTGTCTCTGACAATCCCATCCCAATTGTCCCAGTCACTGAACCAATCCACCTCATAGAGGGCCTTCCTCTCCTGCGCTGTCCCTCCACCCTCCCAAGCATGATGTCCTTCTCCAAGGACCGGTCTCTCCTCACAACATGCCCAAAGTATGTTAGACAGAGCCTCAGAATCTTTGTCGCCAAGGAGCCACCCGGTTTAACCCTTTCCAGGACAAATCTGTTTTTTTTCCTAGCAGTCCATGGTATTCTCAATACTCCTCTCCAGCACCACAGCTCAAAGGTCCATCTTTTCCCTGTGGGCCTGCCAGAGAGGCACAATCTTTGGGTTGACTGTATAATTCTCTACCAACTAGGCCACCAGAGATCCCTTAAATTTAATTAAAATCTAGTTTAGATAGATGATGAGTAGGGAATATCTTTTAAGTGACAATTAGGTTCTGAATGTGGGCTTTTGTGCATGTTTATATAACATGAATACTTATGGATAATTATTAAGATAAATAAAACAAAGTGCCAGTGAGTGCCAGTGAGAGAGGAACAATTAAATATTTAGGAAGTACATGTTCCAGGTAGCTGGAACAGCAAGCACAATGGTCCTGAGACAATGATGTTCTTGTTCTTGATGTTTTCAAGGATCTGCTCTGGACTCTTTGTAGAGTGAGCAGAGAAAAAGTAGTAGAGGATAAGACCTGAGAAATATTAAGGGACCAAGTTGTTTGGACAAGATAAGCATCCAAGAGATGGATATATTTAGCTGTATTCAGATTTTATATATACTTTACAGAAACGCAAACTCATTGCCAACAAGAAGGATCTAACTCATAGTTTACATTCCATTATGTTCCCATGGCTGTAAATTGTGAGGAAGGTGAGTCTCCATCTTTCTTCCTCTGGTCTTTTGGTGAAATGGAACAACCAGAGGGGCATAACTTTGATTTTGCAGTGCTACTTCCTATGGACTTCTGCATTTTGTAAGAGAAGGGGTTCATTTGCAGTTGGATTTAACATGAGATGTGAAGAAAAGCAGAAGGCAGGTTTTAATAAGAGCAACACAAATGAACTAGGGAGTTGTCATTCATGAAAATAAGAGAATGCAATAGGCAAAGGTTTGAGGTGAAAGGAACATGAACTTTTTGTGCTTTGATAAAGGTTTCCCACTCACTGGAAATGTCTAGCAGGTAGTTGGATGGATATATGAGACCAGAGGGGAGATGCCAAGGCTGAGGATGTAAATTAGAGGAATTTGGAATAGAGATGTTGTTAAAGCCATATGATCAGTTATTATTGCCTACAGAGTAAGACTAGGAAAGAGAAAATTATTATTAACTGAGCTCACATGGTCTCCAAGTTAAGTGGATGGAGGATAGAGGAGAATGAGCAAATGAGGTAAAGAGACCCCTGTGAGAGAGCTCAGATACAAGACTAGAGTTTGGAGGGACATAAAATGATCAGCTTTGTCAATTAATTTGAATAATATGACTAGATTAATATGAAGACACTACTTGACCAATAGAGTCCTTGGTCTACTTAACAAGAGCTTTTTCAGTGGGATAGTGGTAATAAATGTCCTGATTAGAATGTGCTCAAGAATGTGGAAGGAGTGAGTATAAATTAAAAAAAAACAAAAACAAAAAACACCACAAAACTCTGTAATGAAAGAAATAGTAGTAGCTGGGAGGATATGTTACTCCAAGGATAAGAGATGGAATGTCCAGATCCTAATCAGCTTCCTTTTAAAGGGTGTAGTCGATGCTACAGGACAAAGCAAGGACAATTGTAATAGGAAAAGACATTAAATACCTTACATTAAAAAATGGGGATAGATGGTGAGGGAGAGAACAGTTTAAAAGTGATAATGTTATTAGGTATTTTTGTCATGACAGGAGTCTAGAGCGAAAGAGTGGACCTGTGGGGAGGAATTGTAAAACAATGAAAGAATTTTTCTTTTCTTTTTCCAAGAGGGTAGTGTACTAGGGGGGAGGGTTGGGACGGGAGAAAAATGCAACAATGAACGAATGGAAATCCAAATCTCTGTAAATTTTCATTGAAATTAATAATAAATTTAAAAAAAAGTGTGTGGGGGGAAAGTGATATTTGATTGGGTATTACAGTTATGACAAGAGTCCAGAATGAAGGTTGCATAGTGGAGTGTACGTGGGGCGGGAGCGGGGGTGGGGAAGTGGGGGAAGGGATTGTGTACCAAGGAAGGAATTTTTCTTTTACTTTTCAAAGAGAAAAGCGAACTGGGGGCGGGGAGGGGTGGGCAGGGAGAAAATGTAACAATGAATGAATGGAAATCCAAAATCTCTGTAAACGTTCATTAAAATTAATAAAATAAACTTTTTTAAAAGTTAATTTTAAAAAATGGGAATAGAGCAGGCTTTACTTATCGCAGAGTTATTCAAGTGCAGTCCCATCTAGCAATCTAGCACTCAGTGGAGTGCAGTAGCTTGTATGGTTTATAAGGAATAGAAGGTAAAGTAAGTATCATTTCAGTGTTTGGAAGTGAAGATGAAATCAAGCCATATTTCTTAAAGTACCACATTAAGAGCCATACACAACCGACTAGATTCTAATCTTATGTAGCACTTTTTCTTGAAAATTGAGCTCTTTAATTCATCTCTTGACAAATTTTTAAGTATTATATGTGTGTTTTAGGGGAAATTTGATTTATGAAACTGGAGTATGAAGATATAGAAGGTCTGAGGTGGCAGAAGAAAATCATAACACTCCTTGTTGATAACCTGTATTTTTCTTACTGAATATTTCTTTAGCATTGTGTCTCATGCCTAAAGTTACCTGAAATAGTACCTTAACACCCATTTTGCCTTCAAATTCCAGAGGAGTTTCTGGTTGATTCTTCCTGATTTCAATAACATTGATTGCTGTCTAAATCTGTTGCAGCGTGCCTGAATACTATGACTACGGTCATGGAGTAAGTGAGGATGCCTATGACAGCTATGGTAAGACCTTTTCTTTACTAAAACTGTGAAATCAGAGCATCCATCAGTCACTGACAACTCAGAAATTACTTCTATCTTTCTCTCCCAGTTTTTACAGAAGTCCAGACTAAATTGATTTATGTAATTCGAGGGTAAGATCTGACTTACAAAGCCAGTGCCAGAAAATTGGACAGATCAATTTTGATCAAAATTTCAAAAGCAATTAATCACAATCATAGATCAATTTCAGTGGCAACACTGAACATTCTGAATAGCATCTGAAATGTTTCACTGTCTCCATTTTCCCACTCAGTGATTTGACAGCCACACTGGTTGGTTCGTTGTTTTGGTTTTTTTTTTTTTTTTTCTGATCTCACATCTAGCATCACAATAATATATTAAATTATGATTATATTATATGATAGTAATAGCATGAATTTAAAATACATTAAAATTGTTAAGAAATTGTGGGCTTTGGTTGTATTATTTTAGTGAACTTATAAATGAAAATACCTTTGAGTGAAATAAATGAGTAAGTATTGGATACTCGCTGAAAGATGGATGGTTCTAACCCACGCAGATCAAAAGACAAGGACAGACAATCTACTCCTGAAAGATCGATCACAGCCTTGAAAATCTGAGCATACGTTGTATCACTTTAAGTCAGAATGGACTCAATAACAACTAACAACAGCTATGTTGTTGTTGTTGTGAAGTGCCGTGGAGTCGCAGGCGACTTATAGCGACCCTATGAAGGAGAGTCCTTAACGCTTGGGTACCTTTCATCCTCTCTCCAAGTTCATAGGGTTTCCGGAGGCAAGTTATTATGGAAGTGGACGCCACTGCTCCTTCCACACTTGTTCAATTGGGGAGCTCCACCCCACTCTCAGTCCGCATTGGGTAGCCAACCATTAACGCATTTGACACATCGGTGTCACAGTGTTCAGCCTCACAGCAACCACAAGTGACCGTGGGACGGCATCTTGTACTAAAAATGCTGAAAAGTGCTTGACTCGTTAGACTTAGGGAGCGCTAATGACCTAATGGGTAAAAAGTTGCTATGCCTATCTTAAAATAGGCAATTCACATTCAGATGCTTTATTGAATGAAGATGAACAATATACTCTGGTGCAGTTTACAGCTTCTAAAAACCTTCTGAAGGTCAGCTATGAGTCGGTTTTAACCCAATGGCACACAACAACATTAGACTTATTACTAGCCAATGAACCTGCCAGTCTGTTAATTCATTTCAAAAATGAAATACTGTTTAAAATCAACTAGAATTCAGCTCAAGAAAATGTCCTTGAATGCTTAGGGTATTCTAACATGGTATCTCACTTTTGAGATGTAGCTTCTGGTCCTGTGATATACACATACCAGATGTGACTACCTTAAATAATGGCATTCATTTCCATGTTTCCTGTCCTGGATTTTTATTAAAATAATACTAAGGCTGCTCTGTCTCTCTTTGTGGGGAGCACTGAAGGGGAAAGGGAATATTGGCTGCATATTTGAGATAGTATATGATGAAGTTGCACTGACCTTGCAGAATGGAGGAGAAAAGGAAAAAGCATGGCCTCCTTGGAAAAAGCATGGCCTCCTTGGAACCAGTAATCAAGCTAATTCCACTGGGTTGAATATCACACTGCTGAGTTCTGAAATAGGAATATAAGCCACCACATCACTACTCATATACTTATGTGTACATGTATTTACTCATCAATATCATTATAACATGCCAAAATATTATGTATTTTTATCTTTATTTCAAAATGAGCAAACTGAGAAACAAAAAAAGTCAGCAGGAGAAGTTAACTGTAGAGGTTTAATTTCTGTTTTTAGGGTTTTGTCAATTATACTAACGATTATTACCACACATCCAGTACTTACTGTGATTCTGTATTAAACGATTTATAATGAGGATTCCAGAGTATAAACAGAAGCCTAAGTAGGTATTACATAAATATATCTACATAGTCTAATCCTCATTAGAATCCCATAAGATACAAATGAATATTATCATCTGTATTTTAAGAGATATTTTTAAATCCAGAACATAAAGCAGCTTGCTTCAGTGTCACAATTAATAAGTGGCAGAACAAGATTTAGTATTAAAGTGATCTGATTTGTTTGATTTTTTTTTTAAGATTGGGTGGGACAGATTTCAGTGGACCTTGGGAGAAAAATAAGGGCCTGCTGTTTCAATGAGTTTATTTAGAGTGAATGATGCTAAACTTGGTGATATTTCTCTAAATCATTCAAATATGCTGCTCTACTATTTAAGAGAGGGAAGGCATATTTAACAGAGATTCAGGAGTGAGAGGAGTTTATTAAAAAAGGACACCAGGCTATTTCCCAACCTCTAGCTTGCCCAGCTCCGGTCAGAGTGACCTAACCTATTGCTGTTGTAGGAGGCATAAAATAAAGATATTTCCATAAATTGTTTCACAGAAGATAAAAAATGAGATAGGTAATTGATAAATTTGCACGGACGTGGCTCAACTGTTGAGTCACAATAGAAAATAGTTTTAGTCTTATTCTTTAAACGTTTCTCATGTTTTTAAAAAGAAGTAATTAAGGCATCATGTTAATAAGGATCACGTGTAAGAGGATGATACAAAACAACAATATTCAAATAGCTCCAAAATGACATTAATAAACCAGGCAATTCAGGGAAAAGAGTTTACCTGACATCCTAGAGGATCCACACCGAATGCTGCAGTCTTCTCTGTGTTTAACACAATATTATTTCTATTGCTTCAGACATATTAAAAGCAAGCAAGAATCAAGCCACATGCCTTTTAGGACTATTTAGTGAGGATGACTTAAGGACAAAACAGCCTGTTTGTTTTTTCTTTAACCGAATGATGCACAAACCATATGGAAAAGAGTGTCCTTTTTTAAAAATATTCCATTTTCTGCACATAGATATTTCATTCTTGTTATATGCCACTGAGTCGTAATCAACTCATAGCTGATCCTTCAGTGGGTTTTCAGAGGCGGTAAGTCAAACAGGATCAGATTGCCTGTCTTTGTTCCATGAAGCAGGTAGTTGTCTTAAACCACCTGCCTTGGGGTTAGAAGTGTAACTTTTTTACACTAGGCTAGCCAGAATTCCAAGATGTTGCTAGATTTTAGAAATATGAATATGTTCAAAATAGAAGTGATTCCTTCCAGGCAACTCTCTCTTCTCTGGAGAGAATTGCAATTACTTATTGAAAAGAAAAAAAAAATTCTCCAGGTGGTAAACCACCTATGTGAGTCACTTGGAAATCTTACTCTTTTAATAGCTAGTACACAGGAATCATCATTCTCAATCCTAGAATTAATATGATGATGGAAGTTTGTTGGAGGTTACATTCTATTTTTTGATGTTCCTTCTCCATTAATATTAATTTACAGGGTTTAAGGTCTCTATCTAATCTTTCTACCTTATATTGTCCTTGTATTCCATGTTGTTACTGTTCTTATGCACTGTCAAGTTGAATACAATTCACAGCAACCCTATGAACAATCTTATCATCTCTGACATACCTGATCTCATTGCTATAGTCAATGTGTCAATCTGTCTCATTCAGGGTCTTCCTTTCTTGAACTCAACCTTCAAGCATGATATCCTTGTCTAAGGACTGGCCCTTACTGACAGCATCCCAAAAACTACATAAGATGTTTTTTATCACCATTGTTGCTTCCAAGGAACACCCTGGTTTCACTTTCTCCAGGACAGATCTGCCTTCTTGGCAGACCATAGGTATTCAATACTCTTTTCCAGCACCACAACTCAAAGGTATCAGTTCTTCTTCTGTCATCCTTTATCATTTTCCAGCTTTCAAATGTATACCAAGCAGTTGAGAAGGTCATGGCTTGAATCAGGCAAGTCTTCGTCTTTAGACTGACGCTGTTGCTCTTTGGCACTCTAGAAAGGTCCTTGACAGAAGATTTTCCCAGTGCAACTTATCATTTGATTTCTTGACTGCTAGTGACAAGTTCTGATTGTGGATCTGAGCAAGATGAAATAGTTAACAACTTCAATCTTTTCTCCATCATAATGCTGCCTCTTGACCAGATGGTGAGAATTTTTGTTTTCTTGATGTTAAGATCAATAATCCATATTGAAAGCTGTAGTCCCTGATTTTCTGCAGCCAGTGCTTCAAGCCCTCCTCACTTTCAGCAAGCAAGATTGTGCCATGTGCATGATGCAGACTGTTGATGAATCTTCCTCTGATCCTGATGCCATATTCTTTTATTCCTTCTTAAAACATCATACTGCTCCACCAGAGGTGTGTGGTTTGAATCCATCAGATGCTCTGCTGGAGAAGGGGGGACAATTTCCTCCTGTGCCAGTCAGATCCGATTTGATGGTACACATACAAAAAATAATAAAATTTAAAAAATTTGAAAAAAAGCAAAACAACCTATCATACTGCTAAAAGTATACTTTTTTTTTTTACTAATTTGATTTTCACAAGACTTCAAAGACTTCAGGGATATTTTGTCTTAAATAATCCCAGAATTCATACAAACGTCATCTTACAGGAGATAGAATCTCTTTACACCTATTCTCTATTTTACCCTTTCTCCGTTTTGATTAGGATTCAGTGGAATCTTTGATCAAAATGTTAAGTAATGATATCTAGCTTGTTCAGTTCTTCTGATAACATGACAATGGAAGCTATTGCTTGTGTGGGCAATTAGCCACTTCCCTATACTACTTTCATTCCTGCATCTCTTTCTTTCTATGTTTCTCCAGGCAAATAGAGGCACTTGTTCTTTTCTAGTTTTGTTATCTTTGTTCAGTCTCATTTTATTCTAGCTGAAGAGACATGGTATCTCCTTGTGATTTTGTGTCTCTGATGATCAGTGATGCTTAGGATCTTTTCCTGTTGTGGTAGATATTTGAATGTCTTTTTTGGTGTGAAATATGTCTTCAAGACCATTTTATTATTGAGACATTTATCTTTTTTACTATGTTGTCAAAACTCTATGTATTTTTTTAATCATATACTTGTCAGATATGTGAT